ATTCATTTGTGTTTAATGAAATTACCACACAGCAAGTTATTACATGAATTTGACAGAAACAGTATGCCGAGAACAAGAAGTGATTAGTGCATTATTGAGCCCAGCCATTTCAGCTTCAGGGCCCCCTCACATGATCATTTAGAATGGTCGGGGGATGTGTTTTTTTCTGACAAGGATAATGGAGTATTTATTTACAGCTAGATAAAAATAAAAACAAGTGGACGGTAGAGTGATATTTCTAGCAAGAGCTTAGACAGTCCTTAAAAAACCTATTCAGCTGATATTTAAGTTCTGAAATTGTGAAACTGGTGGCAGCACCAGGACACTGGCAGACACTGTGTATCATTACTACAAACCAGGACACCAGTTTCTTGTGTACCAACAGCCAAAATGGTACATTTTTACAGATTAATGTAGAGGACACAGGTTGGATTAGTTCCCAAACTACAGGCCAACGCAGGTCAGGTCCACATCATATTGAGTCTCCTTGCATCAGAGCCGTGTTCCACTCAGAAGTTTAAAGTTTTCCAAAATTTTGGATGAGTCACATCTAGAATATATAATGTACAACAGGGACACAGTCTCTACAATAACCATAAAAATGCATTTAAACTAATCATGAAAACTAAATGAAGCCACAATGTACTGCTGGTATGATATACATGATGAGTAAGGAGGAGGAAGGGAAAGGGATAATCAGTTAAAGGTTAGGTCTTTTTTTTGAAAGCCTAAGATGGCACAAAAAAAAATTTGATTTGGTATCCGATAGTCTTTAAATAAATCTTGGTAAAAATGTGTTGGAATGTCAGTAAACATCTGCGGACACAAACCTAAATATTAATGGCGAAATGTGCATTTGGCTTTGCCCTACAAGGACAGATAAAGAGTAGATGGGAAGCAACGTGGAGTCTCGCTGTCCATCAGCAAGTTTGTCCTCCGACATGCCTCCACCTCATTCCAGTATGTGACAGAAGCTAGAACCATTCAGCCTCACACAGTCCTGGGTGGCAGCTGCTGTTTGTAGATTCCAGCCAGAGCTTTGGCAGCACTCTGGATCATCTGGCGTTGGGTCATACCCGTCATGGCGTGGTGCCAGTCCGTTTTGTTGATGTTAGGCATGCTGCGCTCCAGGACCTCACCCACTGTAACTATCAGACCAGACCAGCGCAGGCTGTAGTCAGGAGGGGTCAGGGACTGAGCCTGCATGAAGGAAGGTAACAAAAGGTTTGATGAGCTGCTGGAGGTTTTGGATGAAGGAGTTCTATGGCTGAATCTGATATTTGCATCCATCAATGGGAACAAATCAAGGTGCAACTGGATTAGATGAAAATTAAAATAGTAAGATGTTGTACCACTTATACAGTCATGGAAAAAATGATTAGACCTCCCTTGTTTTCTTTAATTTCTTGTTCATTTTAATGCCTGGTACCACTAAAGGTAGGTTTGTTTGTACAAATATAATCCATCATAACAACAAAAATGGCATTAAAATGAACAAGAGATTGAATAAAACAAGAGTGGTCTAATATTTTTTTCTATGACTGTAGATGCTGAATGTCAGTACCAAGGACTATCAGACTGTACAACATTATTCTTATCAAACAGCACACAAATGAGATGAGCTTGAAGGCTTCATCCCCCACTACTTTGAACAGGATAACCAGTGTGCTTTTCATAAACAGTGATGATAAGCACATTTCACTGTCTCTGTGAGTCATTATAAAACATAGCATTGCTTTAAAGGGATGATATGGTCCACGTGTAGGACAGAGTGCTGCCAGTAATCATATTTCAACTTTCAACAGTGTATTTCTCAAAATATCTCAACTTTATGTTCAAAAGCTCTGAGACTATAATACAAATAAATGTGTAAAGTGTGATTTTTAAGCTGCTGATTGGTACCTGCTGAATGTGATCGAGTGCCAGAGGGGTTGCCTGGGTGAATAACTCAATGCGGATGCTATGACCAGGGTCCTCCAGGATTAAACAACCAATGTCGAACCACCTGGAAACAACAAGATGATTCTGAAAATTCATGCCTTTTACCTGTTGATGCAAATCAAAAGTGAAGGAAGGAAATAAAATTACCATGCTTTTTGTTTTTGTGCTTTAATGCGGACAGAAAAGCTGAAAGTGTTCACGTATAAAAAAGAATGGAATGATTCAGTCCATTACACTACAAACAACAGCCTCCAAAATCCACCGGCGTAGTGCAGAGCTGTTGATCTTATGTGTTTCAGCAACAACAAGGTGACCTGACTTCTTATTGATGTAATTAAACTTGCTGTCTGCATTGGAAGTTAGAATGTGTCACACTGTGTACTTGTGCAACATCTGACCGGCTTAAACAGTTTGACAGAGAGGTGAAAGAGCAAAGCTGCATCGATTGGATCAATTCTCCCCACAGTGCTGGGAACAATGTGGGTATCTTTTCATTATCTGGCGACACTAAACTTAACATCTGCAGTCGAGACAAGCGGTCTCACGTAGCTGGTTATCAACTCAATAAGTCAACCCAAGCCCAGTTGGCCACAGATCACCAATTGCAAACACGGACAGGTCTACTCGTACCAAAGATGCATATTTCACAAATAAAGAGCACATTACAAATACAACGTACTGTATATTCTATGAACATAATGTGGTGCACAGGTGTATTCATCTGGTGTGGAAGACAGTTTAGTCCTATTCTCTCAGCTGCAATCCAGGTGGTTTTAAATATTCATGGAAGCAAGTAAAGAGCAAATAAAAAAAATTCCAAAGCAAACAGACTTCCTGCAAATCTTATATATGTGGAAATTTTGTTTGTGATGTACAGCTGCCTGCAGGATCCGATTGAAATCTCTAGGAAATCTAAGCAATGTCCTCTTAAGTGATGAAAACATACTGGTGTTCATGAAATAAAAACTGACTGACTGACAAGGAAACAGCTTTGATTTGTTGTGTGTGTCATTGTGAGGGTTTTCTTCTTACTTGTCAGGAAAAAGCTCAGCAATAAAGTTTTCCAGAGAAACAACTGGCTGCTTCTCATGGATCACACCGCCTCGTCGCAGACTGTCAATGCGCTCCTGAGCTCCCTGCATACAGAGACAAAGACACACAGACACGCACACATGAACTCACTGATCTCAACTGATCCTGATTTGAGAAAAACTGAAATGTATTCTCAAAATGTTTTTCAAATATTATTTGTTTCTCCACGATATAACAATTTAATCTCCCAAATCTAAGATCACTATTTTTCCTAACAAATACTACACAGACTAACTGCTTATGAAAAGATGTAGTTTTGCCCTCTGTGTTACTTTTGTTTAGTGTCAATTTATTTAAAAAAAAAAAACACATTTAAAAAAAGTTTAAAAAACAGGTTGAACTGACCTTAACACCAGCTGCATAGCCCACAGGCTGTGGGGCGATGTTGGACTGCCCAGGTTCTCCGGTCACCATGGCCATCCCAAAAACCTCCTGGAAGGCATCTCTGACTGCCTCCACGTTCATCTCCTTATCGGAAGTCACCACAATGTCAATGTCCCCACCAGACTCTGGAGAGCAACAATACAGAAACATTAATTGAGGACATTTGAACGTAAATTCTCCTTTTTCACTTAAAAGGTAATGTAGTCAGGAGGAGAGAGCATGTTAACTTACTGATGTATGGAGCCATGCCAGGATCCAGGGTAGTGATCATGGACTCCACAGAGTGTTTGGTTTTGTCCAGGACTGTCTTCACTACAGCGTTACCTGCTACTCCCTAAGGACATAGACAGACAACACACATTATGTCGTCACAGGAAGTGGAAGCCTGATACAGTAGCTCCCTCTCAATTCCTTTGAAAATGTTGTTTAGCCACAGTAGATTGTAGCTTGTTGTATTTATTCTGTAGATATGATTAATACTTACAGAGAAGATAAGACACAACTTTATAATTCCAAGGATATAAGTGTAGGAACAACGTGCAAGACACTAGAGTGTGCACTTGACTGCCACAGTTACTTCACTAGCTTGTAATGGCCTGTGTCATTTCTCTGCTGTGGTGTGCTGGTTAGGTGGCACTGGGACTTGTGTTGCCAAGAAATTGGCCAAACTGGTGAGGACAGCTGGCTTTGTGGTGGGGATGGAACTGCACAGTGTGAAGGCAGTGATAGAGAAAAGGATGGGAGGGAAGGTGAAAGCTATGTATCACGCCAAGCGTAGGGAGCTCTGAGCACAGTCAGCCACGTCCCTCAAAATGTTAAAGTTCAGCCTTGGCTGCATAAGCAAACGTTAAGAATGAACTGCCAAACAGCCGATTTGCTGACACAAAACCATTATTGAGACATTGTGCCATCTAAATAGGAATAATGATCTCAGTCTGTTCAGCTCTTTAAAAACTGTCTGGCTCTATTACTACTTCCAACCTCCACCAACTCAGACTACTCCATGCCAACCATGCACCACTCACAGTTATAGTGTTGTAGTTATATGTATTTCTCTCTCATTCACTAATGTCTAATGCTGCCTGAGTGTTGTGTCTCATTCTGTGAATGTCCTGACATGTCTGAAAAAAGACAGTACATAAGTACTTAAATACTTAACACTTAGATAAATACTTTCACACTTGAAGGAGCGTTAAAGATACGACGCCCACATTTGATAGGAGGTGGTGATACCTTGAAAAAGCCCCAGATGCTTCCACCAGTGTTGGTGTCTCCTGCCACTCTGGGATCATCCTGCTCCTCTGGGAAGGTGATTGGAGATCCAGTATCTAATCCTCCTGTCATGGCTGGCTGCTGAACCATGGGGTTGGACACGACACCTGGAATGATGGAACACTTTTCTAAGTACACTTCTTGACCTTATCCATTTCACAGATTTCTACAATGTCTAGCTTTCAGTTGCCCATTCACAAACACATTTGCACACCGATGACAGCAGAGCTACGATATTAAGTGGCTGCAGACCATCTGGAGGTCAGTGTCTAGTCCCTCGACAGGCGGACAGGAAAATGGAGGGACCAATCCTGCAAGTGACAGGCAACCTGCTCTACCAACTGTGCCACAGCTGTCCAATGTCACAATTGTAAAAGTACCAACTTTCAAAATATACAAAACTGTCTGTCACAACCTGCAGTCCATGAGGCCCCATGAGTTTTGAGAAACTAAATCTCCTCTTTTCTACCAAGTATCAATTCACAGACGACACTGTAGACAGAAAATAATTATAGCCCACAATCAGTTGCAGACCTATACTTCTGTATGACATATTCATAGAAAAACAGTTCTGTGACAGTAACAGAGAGTTTACTCCTTTACAAATGACTGCCCTATAAATGGTACAGCCTTGAGCCCCAAGGCTGTACCATTTATAGTGAATAATACTATTTCAGATTCAGCAGGTGGGTATCTGGTGGTACAGGGGACTCTTATTAGGAGACTATCATTCTGGTTAATGGGCCAAACGATGACAGCCTCTAGTTTTTTGAGAATTTATTTTTACTGATTGTCTCACTACCGGGTAAAATTATGATGGCAGGCAATTTTAACTGCACATTAGACTCTCTACTATGCCATTCATCAGGACCAGATACGTCATATTCTCAAAGTAGAAAGAAAATTCAACAGTTCATTAAGGACCTAAATATATGTGACCCTTGGAGGATTCAGAATCCAACTTAAAAAAAGGAATGCTCTTGTTACTCCTTAGCTTTACTTCCAAATATAGCTCTCTGTAATTATGATAGCATTGTTTTGTCAGATCATTCCCCCACTTGTCACTTTACTGGGATTCACAATTAACTAAAGGATCTTTTAACTGGCTGCAAGACCCTGACTTCATCAAATTTATAGGTGAGGATTGATGTTTATTTTACACTGAATAGTTTTGAAAGCATACATTAGAGGTCAACTGATTAGTTTCACTTGTGCCAGATCTAACAAATTTAAGCAGAAAATGACTGAATTGGATGTTAAAATTAGAACTTTAAAGAGGGAGGCTGGTATAATTCATTCCAAAGATATAACTCAAGAACTCTTTGCACTTAAAGCTGAATATGATAAACTGTCAGTGTTGAAAGCTGAAAACGATTTAATCAGGCTCAAACATTTTATGATCAGGGTGAGAGACCTGGTAAATTACTTGCCTGGCAAATTAAGAAAAATAAACTCAGAGAGAGCCATTAATGCAATTAGGACTGCACAGGGTATGAGCCCAACAGATGCACTGGAAAGAAACCAAACTTTTGCAAAGTATTATGGAGTTCTCTATCAATCACAATACCCCAAGAACTCATACAACCAGGCAGTTTTTCTCCATAGCCAGGTCATTCCCTCTATCCCAGATGAGGCAAAACTACAGCTGGATAAAGAACTGGATTTGGTGGATCTCTCTAATGCCATTATTAATATGAAGGGGGGTAAGGGAGCAGGACCTGATGGGCTCCTGATAGATACTTATAAAGCATTTAAAGACAAACTCAGTAGCCCACTGCTAAATGTTTGTAGAATCCTTCAAAAAGGGCTACATTCGCCTTTCGCCTCGGTGATTCATGCAGATCAAAATGGCTTTGTAAAAAATCGTCTAGGGTTTTATAATGTTAGGCAAGTATTTAATTTGGTTCATATTTTGCGAAAGTTCCCCTGATACTGCCATCTTATCACTTGACACTGAGAAGGCATTCGACCGCGTCAAATGGCCATGTCTTGTGGAATTGCTTAGACTTTTTGGTTTTGGTATTTACAACTTTGGAGTTTTATTTTGGCAAGCTCAAATAAATCTGTTAAACAACCGTCTTTGCCCAAATTAGAAGAATGCTGCACAAAAACTGCTTAAGCAAGGGTCGGGTTACCAAGCTATGCAGTATGTTGGTCAATGACCTTAAAGACAGCAGTGAAAATAAGAGACAGCAATGGATTCAAGACCTACAAGAGGACATCTTGGTGGAGAATTGGGGTAAAATATGTACAAGTGTACAAACTCAAACCATTAATACTCATCTGAGATGAAGACAATATAACTAGATAATGAGGACATATATCACCCATGAGAAATTGAATAGGTTTGATACGAATACTCCTGACATAACAGGTAGTCTTGTGTTATGAAACACTCCTGAAAAAGGAACCTTAGTTCAACATGTTGACATGTAAACAGTGTGTTCCAGATGAAGAGGTGTGGCTCTGACCTGGCAGGGCAGTAGGACTGGAGAATGTTGGCATCAGTGGTGTCTGTGGTGTTCGACCAGCATGACCTCGTGTGATGTCATACCCTGCACTCATGGAGAAGCTGGAGATGGGTGGGCCCACAGGTGGGGCAGACATGCCTGGAGCTGGAGCAGGAGGTGGTCTGATGGAAGGGGCCAGAGGGGGCAAAGAGGGGGAGGCAGAAGGTGGGAAGGGAGAGCTGCTGGTGAAAGGTAAGGCAGATGGAAACTGGGAGGAGAGGGAAGGGGGTGAAGCTAAAGAACTGCTGAAAGCAGGAAGGGATGGAATGGGGGGTAGAGAGGTGGAGACAGAGGGCAAACCGATGGAGCTGGTCCCAGGGAGGGTCAGAGGACTGGACAGACCTGAAATGCAAAACAATAACATTACACCTCAGAGGTACTTTTCACTGCAGTACTGTTTCACTGTGCAGGCAGTTACTCATTATATCACCTGACACAGCACTATCAACATCAGGACCTGTGTTACAATCATTTGAGACCACTGGTAGGTGCGCCTCTATAATTAGTCCATGCAGCCCAAACTAGAGTAGAGCAGGAAAAAAAAAATCACATTCTGTGTCAGTCAGCAGCCCAGATGAGACAACCTTCATGTCAAGGAACATCACTGGTGATAGCAGGTGGGTCTGCAACTTCCACACAGAGGAAAAAACTGCCGTTTTCACAGTGGAAGAGCCAGCACAAGGAGCACATTTGTTGTTTTCATAACATTCAACAAATCCACAATTCTTCAACATGGTTATGCACCAGGAATTAATCCCCAAAACTTGGACTGCTGAATGTATTGCAACATCCTGAGGTGTCTGGGGAAGAACATTCAGAACATTCACCTTAACTGTGGTGTGATAGCATGTAAATTAGGGAGCAACCAACATGTGTTTTCAAGGTCAATTCAGATTGTTGGCAATCAAGAAGAGCCAATAACTAATATTTAGAACAGATATACATTAAATGTGACACTGTGTATAAACAGCATATGATGGCAGGGAACCTGTCATTCATAACTAGGGATTCCATGCTTATTGCAGATGGCGCTTGACACATAAAAAATGTGTGTAACACAGATTGCTGCTGTTGACAGTGTAATGTCATGTGAAATGACACTTATGTCATGACCAGATATTCAAACACAGGTATGGTGAAAAAAAAAAGGAAATGCCTGCAGGCAGATTCAAAACTGTGACTGCTCAATATAGCCATCTAACAAAGTTCTGCACTAGTGTACGCTTAAACAAATAGTAAATTACATTACTTCTTATATTAGTACCCCCCCAAAAAAAAAATCTGTTTGTTTTTCAATTGAGTTGTACAGGTTATAAGTCACACTGAAAGTGGAAAAAGTTCTGAAATGATTTATCTTGGTCTCATTTTCTACATCATAAAAACCTGGCATTTCAACAGGGATGTGTAGACTTCCTACATCCACTGTAGCTTACCCGCAGGGTTTGGTGGGGTGCTGACTGTAGCAGCCACAGTCAGAGGGGGAGTGGGACTAGCAGGAGGTGTAGTCTCAATCCCACTCTCTTCCATCATCTTCTCAGCGGTATACCTAAACTTCAGCCCAGAATATAGCTGCAACAAGATGTTGTGATAAATGAGGATGTGTTCAAATTGTCGTTTAGATAAATAATTAAATCACTGCTACAAAAAAGTAGTGATCAGATGGTCCGATCTAAGCAGTTTTGAAAATGGAAAACAACACAAATATAGTACGGCAAAGCACCAGGCACACAAAGCTTGTGTCAAAACAAGAGTGAATTGAGCTTTAACCCACTGACAAGCTCTGAAAGACATGATGGCTTTGGAGAGTGATGCAGAGTCTGCCTGTTGTCTCTGGGCTTTCAAGTATGGTGCAGTCGGTCAGTGAAATAAAGTCGGCAGTTAGGTGGGTTGGGGTTGCATGTCCCTCCTTAAAAAGCGTGTGGCTGCAAAAACTGTAATGCCACACATACCACCTTAAAGAGACTGATCACAGCTATTGCATAATTTAATGAGATTGCCTACCGATTGTAAACATGTAGTGAATGACTGAGAATTAGGTTTCTTGTGTGTACAATCTGTAAAGAGCTATTAATATTTATAGCCACGGCTGTTCCTGACTTATTAGAACTTTTGTAATTAAGAATAACTGGAGCTTATTTATACAAGCAGAGGAGTCAGTAACAGCAACTTAGAGCAGATGATCACTGATCTGCAATGTAATGCAGCACGCAGGTGCAAAAACAATTTTAAAAAACTCTTGCCATTTTTAAAATACCTGCAGCCAATCTGCACCATAGAACCAATCACCTCATCCTGGGCCTAATCACAACCTGTTGCACACAATGTCAGTCATTTATAACTAATTTGAAATGAAGTTTGTCCATTTTTGACCTGACCTGACTGAATCCATGATATTTTTCACTCGGCATAGCTAAAGGCTATCTGGCCCAGTGGCGAGTCAAACCATGCATCCCTACCAAACACATAGCAACACAGACAGACCTGCTAAACGGCAGACATACTGGTGGGACTAGTTTTTAGTCGCACTAGAAAGATGTTTGTCAAACTCTGGAGCCTTGCATCATATATCTTTAAGTGGTTTTGCTTGTAGCTGGACTGCACAAAGTTTGACTGATATTTTTTTTAGTTCTTTCACAACTGGTTACATGAATTCAGTCACAGTAGGCCACCAACTCAGTTTGAGCCATTCTGTGTTTCATGTTACCTAATACATGCAAAAATGGACCCAATAAGTTATCATTTTTAGCCAGATACCCTGGATTGAGTTATAACTTTGAGCAGAAAGTCTGAAATGTGCACACCTAAAATATACTGACATTCCTTTTTCTTCTTGAATCTATAAAGGATGTTTAGGGTCAAACTACCAACATACAGGCAAAGTAGAGGACAGCTCAGGGGCCTGCTGTACTATCTACTTTGTTGTGATTTGTTCACCACAGAGGTATTGTTAAAAAGTGTAGACGTGTCCTAGAATTTGGGGTCCACTAATGCAAAGTATGAATTGAAATCAGGCTCTCGGGATTCCTACATGTCACGGAATTTTGAGAAGTTGCTTAAATTTGTAACTGTGAAATAGCTATAGTGGTAGAGTCCGTACACTGTGCATTTATCAGCACATTTATGAATTTATCATGCATGCAGAACTGGTGCCAGTGGAGGACAACGACACATTGTTGTCCTGCGCCCCCTCCCAGTGAGCCAGTCCCGGGACACCGCTGCTGGGAGGACCGACCGTCTCCACCACACCAGGACCGACCGAGCAGTTACCGGACACCTGCTGCCTCCTGCTGCGCTCCGTTCAAACCCTAACTACCCTTTTCAGTTATTTCAAGTAGACTCACGAGCGTCTCTTATCAGTCTCGTTAACACCACAGCTCTGTTCGTCTCACGTAAACACTTTGCTGTCTGCTCAACTTTGTTTAAAAGCGACGCGACGTTGAAGCAGTTAGAAATGAATTCAGTGTTAGCCATCTGCAGCTTGTCTGTACACGTGTGATCTACAAACCAACATAGGTGGCGCAAAAAATAATTAGGAAGGTGGACAAGCGACACGCGCATCCTTAGTCTCATTATGCACACAACTGGCGTGAGTGTGTGTCCGTTCTTTGGTCATTTATTAGGAGCAGACTGTCTACTCACCTGCTAGCTCAACTAGCTCCGTACAGCCATGAATGATGAACCACGGGCCCACGGTGATGACGTCTTGTGTTGCCACGTCTGCTCCCGGGCGACTCCTCCCACTACCGGGAGCACGCGGACACAAACTTCGTCAAACCACGTGATTCACGAAACCCTCCGATCACATGTCACCTTCTCCCCACAGTTTGTCGTGATCAAAAAGGACAAATAAAGCATCTGTACAGCTTGTTTTAGTTTAGGAATAGGAATAGGAAAAGCAGGTGAAAAGTAGCAGCAACTGCTGCTGCCTGCTTTCAGGTCAGAGTTAGGTTTGTTTTTCTGTTTTCTTTATTGACATCGAGAAAGTTCGCTTTTTCTGATCTAATATCGCAATTGAGTCAAGCCAGCCGCTGTTCAGATTGCGATGCTTGTCTACTCGTGATATTACGGTACAGGTGTGTTTTAGGTGTTTTTTAAGACTTGTCATCTTAATCCAAGAGGCTTGTTCAGTTCTAACTGGCTGATGGGGAGTTTCAGAGTGTTATAGTCTCTCCAGCTCACATGGCTAATGGCCCATTAAGGTTCACCTACCTCCAGGTGTGAACTGTTGTGAAACCAGGTACTTCAACAGTAACAACAGTACTAATGGTCATGGAGCTGCCAGTTCACACAGCAAACGCTATGAATCTGCCATGTCAGGACTGACTCAAGATGTTAATGATGGCATTTTAGGTGCTTTGAGATAGATGGCTTCCTTCACTTCTCACTAAAGTCATCTGGCGTCTCTGTCCAGGCGTGGCTTGGCAACAGATGAGGCACACCGAGTGAGCATTTCTTCTTCCAGTGCTTTTAGTTATCCCAAACTACCTGACATCTTTACTCACCTGAGTAGATCCTCATGTGAGCCTCACTGCCTTACCTTAAATCAAACTCCCCTGTGCTTCAGCGTTTTTGTTACTCCACACCATTCCCCAGCCATCCATGTCTGAGCCAGCCAACCCTCAGCCTCCTCCACCTGCTCAGTGACTACTGCTACATTAAATCTCCCTTTTCACCACAGTCCTGTCTGCATCTGGATCCAAACTCAAAACCTCAGTGAGATTTTCAAATGACTGCTTTTCAGGATGGCTTATGACTGTGAGTGCACAAATACTCATGGTTTTAGTGTACAGTTTTCAAGAAAATAAAGTGCAAGTCAGTTTGATTGTCTCTGAGGGGTTCTTCTCACACCTGGAGCCTATCCCAGCTGACTTAGGGAGAAGGCAGGGGACACCCTGGACAGGTCGCCAGTCTATCACAGGGCTACACAGAGAGACAGACTTTGGGGATATTAATAGCGTTAAATACTTTAAAATGTAATAGCACTGAATGCCAAATTTACACATATGCTCCCGTTTTTTTGACAAAATAACTTTGAAGTTTTGCTTTTCTATTGAGACAGATGTACTAGTTTTTCGTTTAGCTGAACTGGTTAACTAAACCCAAAGATTTATTTCAAGATGATAGCACTAAAATTTGCCAAATCTAAGTACATTTTCCTGTATATGGAGAAAAAATGTGATTTTTTTTTTTACTCGTATAAATATACTAGTTCTTAGTATTGCCTTACTGGTTTCGAAATATAATTCCTAATTAATGGACAACTCGTACTATCACCTGAGCCATGACTGCACAATGCAATGTTTTGCCAGGAAACCTTGGGTCGTGTCATTCATGTGGATGTTACTCTGACGTGTACCAGCTAAACATTGTAACTGACCAACGCTGATCCTTGCAGCAACAGGCAAACGAGGCAAAAGTGACAGCAGTCCTTACTACTCCCTTCTTGGCAGCACTACAGTGAAACTTACAGCCATTGTTACATCTTCATCACAAGTATCAAGCTGTATTACTGAACTGAAGACAGGTGTTGAGTATATTTCAGACTCAGACAAATATGACAGTTTAAAAAAACCTCCTGGACAAAACCACACCAAAAAGACATTGTGGAATTATATAATTTATTATTTTAAGAATAAAGCCTTTAGTTAGATACCAATAATAAAGCTCCTCGCCTTTTATTAATTTCATCCTTTAAGATCGAAACCAACTTCAGGACTAGCTTGTACCATGATACAACTTGTTTTTTTAAAAAACAAAGTTAAAAAATCAAGATTTGTAGCCTCCAAATTAAAAGAATAAACATAGTGTTTGTCATTACCTTCTAAAATAAGAATGGTCCCTTCATTTCCTTATGAGTTTAAAAACTGTTACAGATATGACGTTGTTTTTGTCAGCACAAGCTCTACATAGGTCAATGAGATGTTAACAACTATTGTTGGTGTAGACAGAAAACAGTTTCTTGTGTGCAGTAGTAACTACCTTGTATGAATCTCAGTCTCTTAGACGTTTTAATGATGACAACACACATGTGCTCTAACATGTTCATGAATGTGTCCACAGAGAAAAACATTTCATTTTTGGCCAAACGAGAGGAAATTTTGTAGCTGAAACATTTGCCTTTGAGATAGTTGTTGATGTTGAATAGTTGATGTTCTAGGGCCATTTTATATTGATGGTTATTTCTGCTGAACTATGTAGTGCATGCAAACAAGGTTTCACTTACACTGCAACACAATTTTCTTGCTCATGTCCTTTGAGGGGCTCAACAGATGTATATCAACCCTCACATTTCTGGTACGACTACACTGCGGTTCTATCTGTCGGGATGCAGGCTGGGAGCTTTGGGTGGTGCCTTGAACCATTTTTCTCATACTCTGCCTTTCAGGCTGTCCTTCATCCAGCTCTGTTGAGGTCTCTATAGATTGTTGAGCTCCAGAAGAGTTTGGTCCAACACTTGGTGCATGTCCAGATTTTCTTCTTTGGCTTGGGCCAGTTTCTCTATAGTTGGAAACAAAGCCACAAGTGAGCTTCCAAGAAGATGCAGAAAATCTAGTTTTTGACACATTTCAATCTGGCTTTCGATCACATCATTCTACTGAAACTGCCCTGACCAGAGTTGTCAATGATCTTCCACTAATGACTGTTGATTCTGAGTTGACATCAATGATGCTGCTTCTTCACAAGTGCAGCTTTGACTATGTGAAACAGAACTTACTTTTAAGTCTTTCTGAAAAACAGTGGTATTGAAGGGAGAGTGCCTTCATGGTTTTATTCATATTTATCAAATATCTTTCAGTGAGTAAGTTACAATAATACAATCTCAGATGTCCGTAGATGTGAAGTAGGGGATCAGTCCTTGGCATGTTTTGGTATCTATAGTACTTACTTGACATGAAGCAACATTTATCTGTAAAACAAAATGACCTCTCCCATCTCTAAATTTGGAGTCATTTTGAGGCGTGTCTATCAGGAACAAAAAATAGATGGGCATGAATGTTTTGTTATTAAAAGCTGTTAGAGCTGCCAAATATGGGTATTTGTGTGAGAATTTGTTGCATTACTACATGAAGCTGGATCATCGAAAACCTTTAAATGAATTTGGATTCCCATTTGACATTCCAGTCCCATATTAGGGATCTTGTCAAGACAGCATTTTTCCTTTAAAATAATTTTGCTAAAATCCAACTTATTCTGTCACAGCATGATGCTAAAGCAGTGATCCATGCATGCTTATCCTCCACGCTTGATTACTGTAAAACCCTTTTTCTGGCCTTATAAGTTGTGCTATTAGTTTTCAGTTTGTTCAGAATGCTGCAAATTGAATCCCAACAACACTTTTCCAAAAAAAGACAGTAGACAGCACCCACTCCAGCCTCTCTTAACTGGCTACTGGTGCAAGCAGGAGCTGATTCTAAGGTTATTTAAGGTTCTGGAAAAGAACAATACAAGGACTTGTGTCTTCTCAGACAAATTTATACATAAATGCAGGTAACTTCAAAGGGTTCACTTTTTCTTGCGACTGTGCAAATTAAGTTTTAAATGTGCAGAAGTAACACTTCACCATTAAAACCAAACTTTTGCTGGAAGAGAAAGAGGCAAACTATAATAAACTAAAAACTAAAGTACAGTCCTGGTCACTACTATTGGCACCCTTTCATGTATTGCATAACCTGCACAATATTCTACAATTCTACAGTTTCATTTAGCAGACGCTTTGATCCAAAGCGACGTACATCTGAGAGCAGATACAACACAATAACAATATCTTCAGAAATAAATGGAAATGTAGCAAATTTATATGATCAGAATTTCTTAATTGGATGTCCAAAGTTATTCAACAAAAAATATATTTTTTCAACTTACATGTTGTAATTGCCAAGAGGGAATAGAAAAAAATCACAGAGACAATAATAAAGGCAGCCCTCCTTAATATTTGGTTGCACACCCTTTGGCAGCGATGACCGCCTCCGAACTTTTCTTGTAGCCATCTGTAAGCTTCTTGCACTTCTCAGCTGGTATTGTCTCCCACTTCTCCTTTGGAATTTGTTCAAGTTCTTGAACATTTGCAGGATTCCTTGCCCCAATGGCAGATTTCAGCTCATGCCATAGATTTCTGATGGGACTGAGATCAGGATTCCTTGCTGGCCAGTTTAAAACAGTCAATTTTTCCTTTTCAACCATTTCAGCGTGCTTTTGGATGTGTGCTTTGGGTCTTTATCTTGCTGGAGAACCCATGATCTTCAACGCAAACCTAGTGTTCCTACACTGGGTAGCACATGTCACTCTAAAATCCCTTGGTAATCCTCTGACTTCATGAATCCTGTGACACGGTCAAGGCCTCCAGTACCAGATACAGCAAAGCAGCCCCACAACATTACAGATCCTCCACCATGCTTAACTGTTGGTAGGGTGTTCTTTTCCTTATGTGCTTCATTGCGCCGTCTGTAAACAAATTGTTGGTGTGCATTGCCAAAAAGCTCTATTTTTGTTTCGTCTGTCCACAAAACATCTTCCCAGAAGAATTGTGGTTTGTCCAGGTACTCTTTGGCAAAGATCAATCATTACTTTTTATGCCTTTTCTTCAGCAATGGGGTCTTCCTTGGCCTTCACCCATGAAGCCCTGCTTGGTTTCGTGTGCTGCGTATGGTACATGTTGAAATCATTACCCCAGATTGTTCCAGGTCGGCTTTCAGGTCTCTGGATGTTTTACGTGGTGTTTTTTCCACAGTCTGCACCAACCTTCAAAGACTTCTCTGATCAATTTTTCTCTTCTCCCCACGTCATGGCAGATCTTTGACAGTTCCATGCTTAACAAACTTCTTAATAACATTGCGCACTGTTGAAACAGGGATACCAAGGTCCTTGGAGGTGGCCTTATACCCTTTAGAAGTGTTGTGTTTGCAAGTAACACCTCTGATGTCCTCAGACAGCTCCCTTGTCTTCACCATTGTGACAACGGAACAGGGAATAATGTGGCTTTTTAAAACATTAAAGTCATCATACATTGGCTAATTCATGTCATGTGGGCAGTGACAGTTTATCACCAGGTGATTCTAATTTCTGATTAATCACAGCTGAGTCATAATGGGGTTTTCCCCACACTGATTTAAAGGGTGCCAATATTAATGTCACAGCAATCTTTCAATTTGTCTACTTTTTCTTCTCCTCCTATTGCTTTTTTAAAATTGTTGTTTTACCATTTGCTGATCTGTATCAAACAAGAGCTGTCTGTAGACCAAAGCTGTTTCATTAAATCAGGGATCTCCAACTCAGGTCCTCATGAGCTACTGTCCTGCAGGTTTTAGATGTTTCTGTACTGCAACACACCTGACTCAAATTAACGGATCTCCAACAGCTTGTTGTCAAGTTCTACACAAGTCTGTTAATGATCCATTAATTTGAGTCAGGTGTGTTGCAGTATGGAAACGTCTAAAACCTGCAGGATAGTAACTCACGAGGACCGGAGTTGGAGATCCCTGCACTAGATTCACTTTTTCAGGAGATATTCTACATTATGTATTTAAATTTCATGAGTGCCAATAATGGTGACCAGGACTGTAAACCAAGTAAAAATGAGAAAAGTTATGTTAATTGTATCATAAACCACTGGAGTGTTTATACATCAGTGATAAATATCCATCCATCCATTGTCTATACACCGCTTAATCCTCACTAGGGTCGCGGGGGGCTGGAGCCTATCCCAGCTGACTTAGGACGGACAGGTCACCAGTCTATCACAGGGCTATGCTTAGAGACAGACAACCAAGCACACTCACACTCACACCTACAGACAATTTAGAATCACCAATTAACCTCAACATTTTTCTGGGAGGAAGCCGGAGAACCCGGAGAGAACCCACGCTGCACGGGGAGAACATGCAAACTCCACACAGAAAGATCCCAGGTGTCCTCACCGGGACGCGAACTGGCGACCTTCTTGCTGCGAGGCAATGATGCCAACCAACGAGCCACCTTGCAGCCCAGTGATAAATACATTTATCGTAAATATCTGGAGTGCTTCAAGAAGCATTGTATTTATTAACATTGCTTAGAGTGTGAAATAAGCAGAAGAGAAAGAAACTGGGAGGAAACAGAAAAGGCAAGAGAAATTTGAATCATTTATTACAGAGAGAGAGAGAGAGAGGGGGAAACAGGTTTACATGAATATTTCACCAATGAGAGAACATTACCTCAGTGAACCATAGACACGCAGCAGTGATTGGCAGTAACTTACCTATCTGTAAAAAGACCAGTCCTGAGTAATAGAGATACAGCTTACTAAAGGGTTTATGAATTTAGCATATTGCATCTCTAGAATCTCCTAGCCCATAATACCACTGTGAAATGGAACAAAACAACAGCAGACAGGCGAAGAAGAGTTCAGGAGGGAGGAGCAGAGAGGAAGACAGAGAACATCTACAGTGTAGTCATGTCGTTGAGGGCCAGGTCCAGCTCCTCACTGAGAGCCTTGCCCTTTAGCTTCTGAGCATACACTTCATCTGAGGAGGACACACACAGACAGAGACGAGTGTCCACACAGAGAGACATCCAGAGTGGAGACAGATCGAGGTGACAGAACAGGAGACAGAAAAGTAGAAGAAAAAGAAAATTAAACAGAGCTAAAACTGGAAACCTTCACATTGTATAAGCAAGATATACTGGTGTTAATGTCATCACAGCGACTGGTTACTGCAACTCACAAAGCACCAGTAACAGCTAAAGCATGCAAGCTTCGACTTGAAGCTCAATCAGCTAAATGTCATAAACTGCAAGGACGTAGAGACGAAGTGAGCATAACATAGAGGATCTGTATTAGGATGAGACCAACAAACACCTCCAAGACCCAAACGTTTTTGCATTCATTTTATTGTTACTGAAATTAATGCATTCATGCAACATAATTTCACCCACTGGTAGCCATGTTAGAAGACTACACTTTCTGAAAACTATATATGTTATGTGTATACAACAGCTGCAGCGTCACATGTGTCCAGTCCCTGTCCATTTTAGAATTGATTTTAGGATTTTCTAAATATATTTTTTGGGCTTTTTGCCTTCATTTAGAGCAGTAGAGATAGACAGGAAAGGGGGGAGAAGAATGGCAAGAGACCTGCAGCAAAGGGTCGTGAGCGAGAGTCAAACCCACGACCACTGTGTTGGGGGACTGTAGCCCCTGTTCATGGGTCACCCGCTCAGCTAGGTGAGCTATAGGATTTTATGTGTTATGTGTATACAACAGCTGCAGCGTCACATGTGTGAACGCATACGTATACAAATACCCTATGTAGTCTAAACACTCCACAGTAGTTCATGTCCCTCTGCAACCTCAGTTACCCTCTGCTCTAAAGTGCAACATGGTCAGCTTTGGTATTTTAAATTTCAGATTGCTTAAAAACAAGCCATTTTCATGTCATGATTTTATCACAACTAAAAATTTGGACTTTTAAAAAATAATCACAGACATGGTTATCCCAGGGAGACTACTCCTCTTATTGAAGCAACCCCCCTGACTACACACACTTCCATCAACGCCGACTGTAAGGGAGGGGAGTAGGGGTTGCTGTTATTTAGAAAAAAGATTTCAAATGCACCCTCGTCCTACTTAATAGTTTATAGACATCTTTGGAACATCTAGGTTTCAGAGTACACTCCAAAGAGCCAGTGGTCTTACAGTGGTCTTAACCTCCAGCTGATCTAAAATGCTGCAGCCAGAGTTCTGACAGGAACCAGTAAGAGAGATCATATTTCTCCTGTATTAGCTTCTCTTCATTGGCTCCCCGTAAAATCCAGGATAGAATTTTAAATCCTGCTTCTAACATATAAAGCGCTTAATGACCAGCTCCATCTTATCTTAAGGACCTTATTGTACTGCATCATCCTAACAGAGCCCTTTGCTCTCAGACTGCAGGTTTACTTGTGGTTCTCAGAGTTTCCAGAAGTAGAATGGGAGGCAGAGCCTTCAGTTATCAGGTCCTCAGTTGTGGAATCAGCGCCCAGTTTGGGTTCTGGAGGCAGACAGCCTCTCTACTTTTAAGATTAGGCCTAAAACTTTCCTCTTTGATAAAGCTGATAGAGCTGCTCAGGATCACCTGAACTGTCCCTGAGTTATGTTTTCATAGGTTTAGACTGCAAGGACTTCTCGTGATGCATATTACAAACTCTGAGTCTCCTCTTACTCGTAGTTTGTGTTTGTTCTCCCTGTGGATGTCTCGAGATTTAGAGCTACACAGTCACTGGCCTCACCGACCTCCAAAGTGTTACTGTTCTCTTATGTGTAGTTGGTCTCATCGGCTATCCCCACCCAGAAGCAACCTACTTTAAGGGTATATTGTGACTTTTTTGTTTTAGAATTACAACTTTTCAAAAAACTAAATATTATGACCCTTTTCTCAAAATCAACTGATCCTGATTTCTTGAGGAAATACTCAAATGTCCTGCCTTTTAAAAAGAACCTTTGCGGCCACCATAGGTAATCACTCTTCTACAATTGAAATTACCTGTGGTGTGCCACAAGGTTTAATCTTAGGTCCATATTTATTCTCCATCGACTTGCCTCCAATCATCCAATGGCACAATGTATCTTGTCATTGCTATGCAGACGACACACATACGTTCTGCGGAGACCTGGTGGACCCAGCAAGCCTCGCCACTGTAATTGTCTCAGAGATGTAAACTGTTGCATGACACATAATTTCATTGAGTTTATCATTTTAAAATCAGAAATAATTTTGTTCAGTACCACACACACAAAAATCAGCTTCAGTGATAAAAGCCTTGACCTGCTATCAGCTAAGATAAAACCAATGCCAGTAATCTGGGAGTTCTATTCGATTCCAATTTAGGCCTTGATACACACATCCAGTCCTGCTATCAACACATACAAACTATCTTCAGAATAAAATAATTTCTTTCACACTCAGGTCTAGAAAAAGTAATTGACACATTTTTTCACGACCTGACTATTAACTCCCTCCTCTCTGGTAAGTCACCCTCT